GACAATGGGATAGTCTTCATTGCTAAAAAGAAATCAGCTATCAAGCCATGAAAAGACACAGAGGAATCTTCAATGCCTATTACTAAGTGAAAGAAATTGTAAAAGCGACATACCGTTTGATTCTTACTATTACGACATTCTGGACAAAATTATGGAAACAGTAAAAAGATGAGTTGTTTGCCAGGGACTGCGGGGGAAGGGATGAATAGTGGAACGATGTTTAGGGCAGTGAAACTACTCTGTGATACTGTAATGGATACATGCCCTTAGAAATTTGTCCAAAATCACAGAATATACAACACCAAGAATGAACCCTGATGTAAACTATAGACTTTAGAGGATAATGACGTGTTCATATAGGTGAATCAATTATAAATAACGTACCACTCTGGTGGGGGGTGTTAATAATAATGGAGGCTATGCCCGAGTAGAGGCAGAAGGTAAATGAGAAAACTCCATACCCTCTGCTCAATATTGCTCTAAACCTAAAATAAAACTATAATATAAAAAAATAAAGTCTATTCAAACAAAGAATGATAAAAGTCTATATACTGACATGGGAGAGGTCTCTAAGATGTAGTAACAAATAACTAAAGCAAGATACAGAGAAGTATTTTTCATTTGTGTATCTATATGGATAGCCATAACGATTTTCTGGAAGCTTACACACAAAAACTGGTTAACAGTGGCTGTGTTTAGAGAATGTGAACATTTCACTATTAATTTCAACCCTTCTCTGCCTTTTTTTTTTAGTATTGTACATGTATTTCTCTTATGATGATGATTTAAAAGTTCTTTATCGACCTCCCCCCAAAATCATAAGCCAATCATCCTGCTGGGTATTCCTTCAAAACTCTATCCTTTCTCACCCAAGAATGGGAAGAACAGGTTCCTCCAAATAACATCTTGCATAGGTAATGTGTTTTTAGCCTCAGCCATGTGCTACTGTTTGTTTCTATATTCTGTTATGTATCATCAAGTAAAAACAACAATTTAATGATTTTGCAGTATTAATCCCTCGTTGATCTTGGATTCTAGAGACCCAAACGAGCTGTGGACAAAACCATTCAATCTCAAGCTACATCCTGAGGTATGAAGACAACTTCAGAGTCTACAAGCAAGCACAGCTGCTAAAATCAAGATGGGAACAAATATTCTGAGAGATACCACACCTCCAATGGTTTAAATTCCGTGCCTCTTCCACACGATCTGTAACTAGACTACTCAGTTTGAGTGTAAGCAGACAGGAATCCTTGCATTAACAACACTGATTCACCCTCTGGCACCAGGCACGTATTGGAAAGCAGCTGATTCATAGTAGGCTCAATTTACAAGCCCCAAATCACTGGGTATCTGGACGGCCAGTGTTCAAGTATTTGGCAGAGGAGTTCCCTCATTCCACTGCAGAAGGTCACAAAGAATTTCTTTTAACGGCAAAAGCATGCAGTGAGCTGGTCACACCTGTCTGAAAACGTCCTTTCACACAGAGCAGGATTTTGGAAACATTACACACGGCCTTGTGCGTGTCCTTGAGAAGATCCATTTAGTAAGGAAATTGCTGGTCTTACCCGCAGACAACCCAGCAGCCTGTGTCTGTCCTGAAGTGGATTTTGTCCCTTTGGGAGGGAACATAAACTTGACCTCATATTGCAACCTGACCCACCGTGACTGGGGTCTAAAATTAAGGGTGCGTTTTTATGAAGGCTGTAAAGCAAGACACAGCAGGCTGTTGTTAGAGAATTCTGCCATGGACTGGCTGGGACCCAGCATCTGCCAAAGCCTTGATTGAAATGTCTGATCCATGAGAGAGCCCATGTGATGTGCCCCTTAGGTAGCCTTTCATTTGGATTTGATTAATTACTCCCTCCTCCGTTCTCCCGCCTGTTCCACTTAGTTCATCCTGAAATCTTGCCCATTCAAGTGTTTGTGCTCGTCCTCTCTGTAGATCTAACATGGCAGCCTCTAGCCACGTGCGGCTTTTTAAATTAAAACTACTCAACACTCAATAAATTTTTAAAATTCAGTTCTTAGTCATTCCAGCCCCATTCCAAATGCTCTGTAGCCACACAGGGCTGGTGGCTACTGTGTTCGACACCGCCAACAGATAACAATTCTATCATTGCAGAAAGTTCCATGGGTAGTGATGCTTGAAGCAGGGACCAGGACTTGGGCATCTCCATGCCCAAACACAGGCCTGGCAGCAAGGAGGCACTCCCTAAAGGTGTGTTTATTGCGATTATCCAAACTCTGTCTCCATGCTGCAAAAGTATCTCTGATCTGCTCGCACGGAATTAGCAATAGATAACTTGATATTACTTTGTGACAAATCCATTTGGATTTCATGCCCAGAGCAAACTCATCTCTGCAGAGGAACGTATATGTCTGCTCCTTGCTGCTGGACTGAGAACTGCAGAGGCAGCCTGGACCCCGGGCTGCTGAAGATTTCAGAGGCACGGTCACAACTTGGCCAGGGAGACGGGTGCCTCTCAAGTGCCCAGTGACATCTATCCCCCTGCTCTCTAAGGATGGCTTCTCGCCTGCCTTTTACCTTCATGCATATATGCGGCTTTCAGTTTTGGGGGGCTAAGGTCCAGTACAAATCCTAAACGAATAAATACCATAAACCGCTTTTGTTTTCAAATTGCAAAATCTTGACCCTTTTCTTTCGATGAATAAGAACGCAAGGGACACCAGAGACTAGTAAAGCGTAGATGCGTCGTCTCAGGATTTTCCATTTGCCTGTCTGAATGGCGCTTCCATAAACACCCATGTTATACTTAAGTTTGTCCAAGAAAGCCAGAACACCCACCTGCCCGGCAGCAAAGTTAGCACCTGCATCTGTACAACTGCAAAGAAATGGAGCTATTTATCAAATAGGAAAGAGGAAATCGACTCGGTCAACAGTGAGGCAGGCCCTTAAAAGCTGGGAGGGCCCACCAGAAGGTGGGCCGGGATCAAATTCAGACCTGAGGGGGCAAGTCATGACCCAGTAAATAGGACTGTGACGTAAGCCCCCGATCACTTGGGTTCAGAGAATAAGACTAAAAATCAGCTCCAATAGATTGAGCCTACTGATGGAGGGGTCGGGGGCACAGCTTGATTTAACCTGAAATGAGCCATGAAATAAAGATGCTCTACCTTAACGTGATCAAGACCTCGCCTGATGGGCTGCTTGCAAAAGCCATGTGTTTCCCCTGCCCTCTAGCAGGGGGCCACTGGGGCCATGAGTAATAAAAGGAGAACCTGCAGGCCGGAAAAACAACTTCGCACCTCTGTGCTGCAGGAAGCCCCTGCCTGCCACAGAAACATCCCCGAACATCGCTTGTGGGAAATCTATTTCACAAACTCGCTGGCATGCATGGTCAAGTTTTCAAATGTCTCTGGTGCAAATAATTTCGCTCCCTTAACACAAACAAGTAGGTCTCGCTCTCCCACCAAAAATGCTAAATTATGCTAGTCCCCAATTTCCCTGAATTTTTGCACTGTTTTAAATTAACTCTTGTTGCCTCAGTCTACATGGGAACACATTTGTCTTGGTAAATTTATGCCTTCACACCTCAAAGCATGCTGAGTAATTAATATCCTCTGGGTTAGCTAAGCGCTGCAGCATTGCAAGGGAACATGAACATGGCTTTCCTCTTATTCTGATTACTAAATGGATTTAGCTATTGCCACCTGAGCTCCCACTAGTTTCATGAATAAATTGAAAGCACTCCCAGAGAGGAAAGTAATGATGCAAAAGCAGTAGTTCATCAGAAGCCAGGGATCAGCATTTCAGTCCAAAACAGCTATCACCATCAATACATCTGCAGAGTCCAACCCAGGCAGTTCATTTCAGGTATTCACAGGGCACACCTCACTTCTGTTACCTGCTATGTAAAGGAAAATCCGGTAAATAAGAATTTAGATGCAGGTACCGTAGCTAAGAGTATTTTTACACATTTCCAGGGAGCGTCTGTGTGTCCTATGTACATGGCAAGGAGCTTGATATTAAAGGTGAGGAGGGTTTTGTTTTTTTTTTTAAATTGCATAAGTCACCTTGCTAACTGAAAGGATACGTTCATTCTTCCTTTCCACACAGAAAGGTAAATATCGATGATGACTGCTCAGAGAAAATCCCAAAGGGGCTCGGAAGGCCTTCAAGGATAACCTCTTCCACAGAAGTCAGAGCTGAGGGCCAGGGGACTCCTTTGAAAAAGAAAAATGGAGTGGCTGCCAGGGACAGGGGTATGAGGAGTGACTGCTAATAAGTGCAGGGTTTCATTTGGAGTTAACAGAAATAGTCTAGAATTAGATCGTAGTGATGGCTGCCCCACCTACTGAGTATATTAAGAAGCACTGAACTGCAGACTTTAAAATGGTGGATTTTATGTTATATGAATTATATCTCAATAAAAAAATGCGGTAGCTGTCTCCAGGTACTGAGCCCAGCATTCAGCCCTTCCAGGACCCTGGGACCTCAGAGATCAGACACCTGATCATGTGGGAACCTGCAGGCCCCCACAGTTAATCATTTGGTAGCAGAAAGAGAAATGATCATGGAGCCAGGAGAGACAACTTCTCGTCAGTTCTCCCACTCACTGACTAGGGGCCCGGCACATTCAGTTGACCTCACAGGAATGACCTGCTCCCCATACGTAAAATGAAGGTATTATACCTGATTGCTCAACACCCCAATGGGATAAAATGGATGACATACATAACAGAAACGAGGCCACCGTGGGCCAAAAAAAGCGTCATCATGATGTGCCAGGAGGCTTGGGGGTCTCATGATAGCTCTATGACAAGAGGCACAATGCTCTGGGGACCACAGTTTCTAAGATACTAAGTTCTTTGCTGAAGATGACACTGCTGGAGTCACATCAAAAACTGGGACACGAGGCTCTCAACTCTGGTCCAAAGCTGTTCCAAGATTATAAGTACTGGATGAGGATTATAAGTACTGGTGACCAGCTGTGGAGCCAAACAGCCTGAGTGCAGGTCCCAGCTCTGCCACTCACCAGCAGAGACGCCTTGGCCAAGAGCCTTGACAGCTCTGTGCCTTAGTTTCCTTACCTGTAAAATGGAGATAGCGGTAAACTCCACTACAGTGAGTTGATTTGCAGACTAAATTGGACAGAATATATGAAGGGGTTAGCATGGACTCTAACACATAGGAATCTCTCAAATATTAGCTATTATTATATTTGGTATTAAAGTAGAATTTACCAGCTCTGTAAGGCCCGTCATAAATATGAATGAGTAAATAGCTTTTAGAAGTTATTAAAATGTTCAAAGCTTAACAGATGCAGAGACAACAAAGTCACACTCCAACCTGAACTCACCCAGTGTCTGATGAACCTTTAGATCCTAATGATGTGACATAAACCTGGGAAATCGAGACACAAGGTTGTCACAAAACAGTTCCGATGCCACAAGGTATTGACTAATAACAATCGATGCACGTGGCATTTCCTTCTCCTGCAGCCAACAAACAAAAACACAAGTGGATGTGTGTATAATTGTTTAAGTGAGGTGGGAAGCTGTCTCTGATTGATGTTGCATAGATGGACATTTCCAAATCAGAGCCAAGCAGAGCTGAACAGGACCTCAGCGACCATCTAATCCAACACACTCATTTTAGAGATAAAGAGAATCCATTAAAAGGTTGACTTTGGTGGGTGGGTGGGGCATACTGTTTTAAATTGGCAAACAAAAACAAGAGAATCTCCTAAGACAGCTCGTCACAGTCCGGTGCAGTACAGACGTGCTTGCATGGAGCCCGGGCTGCATCATAGACCCTCAAAGAGTGAGCGTGGACAGAGAGCCTGATCTAGCCAGTCAACTTTGAAGGCAAAACAAAGCAGTCATGTCGCGAGGTCCAGCATTAGCTAGGGTCTATCCATGTTCACGAGCAGGCTGAGAGACAGAATCTGAATCTACACTCAATGGGCTCATCAAGATTTTAGCCTTATCACCGGGCCAGGCCAATGCAAAGGGAGAAAGGTGCTGCCAGCCCAAGTCAACTCCTAGAGGTCCCCAACCCAGACCTTTCTCCCCAATTCCAACCCTGCAGGTCACGCTACCCAGGGGAAATTTCCACAAATCCTCCAAAGAGAAATGCCCAAACTGACCTCTGTCTTCTCTCACCCTTCCCTTCGGCTTCCTCCTTTTGCATAGCAGAGTTCAGGTGTATCATCACCTATCTAGGCACCGAGTCAGAAGCATGACTGTAATTCCTGATGCCTTCTCCTTCATTGGCGATCAAGTTTTATCTGTTTTACTACCAAAATATTTCTCGTATTCATCACATCGCCTCCACTTCTGTGGTCACTCCCTTAACTTCTCATTTCAGCCCTCTAACTGCCCTCCTGAGCCTGAGCCTTTCTTCTATTCTGCTGCCCGAAAAGTGTGATACATCAAAGATCTGGTCGGGTCACCCTTGTTACGCAAACACTACCAATTTCTCCCCATTGCCTAAAGAATCAAGTCCAAACTCCTTGCGTATCATTCAAAACTGAACCATTTTCTGCACTTCTATACCTCCATGCTCACTGCTCTCTTTATCCAAACCCTTCTTTTCCTGTAGAGGTTGTCAGCATCCTCAGAGGAACTTTTCTCCACGGTAATGCCTGCCCCCTTCACCAGGTAAAACTCATCACGTTGATCCTCCTCCATCTTTCATTCAAATTGGACCTGATATATCTGAGTCTCTGGCCCTCACAGTTGACTGTAAACTCTGAAGAACTGAGCCTTGATCCTTTCTGCATGCCCCAACATACCACAGGGCCTTGTCCCATCATAGTGCTTAGTTCACTGCCTCAAATGAACTGCTCTTCTAGCAGATGCTTATATCGGAAACCCAAGACCATCTATGCCCAAGAAACCAACACTTACAATGTATTCTTCAAACTAGTGAACAGACAGACCTTCTGCCACAGAAAACCCACAGTTTCTCCTCTAAGCACTAAAGTTTTGAGAAATAACTTTATAACAAGTGCCTGCAAGTGAGGAAGACAATGAATCTAGAGGCCTCGAACCTCAATTCTGAATGCATCCTACTGATTCATCTGTTCCCGGTAATAACTCTGGACCAAACTGCAACATTTTGGATCAGTCAGAAAACAGAAGCCACTTTCAGGGAAGATTTCCCCCTGATTGGTGGCCTAGAAAATGTGGAAAGTCTTCTTACCAAAGAGTCCTCTTGCCATAGGGCAAGAGAAGAGAAAAGAGAAAAAGGCCCATGAAGAGAAATGTCTATTCAGACTCTCTGTCCATTTTTAATTGGGTTGTCTTTTATTGTTGAGTTGTATGGGCTCCTTATATAATCTGGATACAAGTCTTTTATCAGATATATGATTTACAAAAGTTCTCCCCCACTGTGTGGTTTGTCTTTTGATTTTCTGGATGGTTTCTGTTGAAGCACAGAAGTTCATTTTGAAAGCCAATTTATCTTGTTGTTGTTTTTTTCTTTTTTTCTTTTATCACTTGTACTTTTGGTACCATATCTAAAAACGCTTTTGCCTAACCAAGGTCATGAATTTACTTCTACATTTTCTTCTAAGAGTTTTATCATTTCGGTTCTTACACTTGAAATCCATCATCCATTCTGAATGTGTGTACGGTGTAAGGTCGGTATCCAATTTCATTTTTTTTCTTTTGGCACATGGAAATCCAGTTGTCCCTGAACTATTTGTTGAAAAGATTGTCCTTTCCCCCATTGAATTGTCTTGGCATCTTTGTCGAAGTTCTACTAACCATGAACGTGAGGGTTTATTGACCGATTCTCAATTCTATTCCATCAATCTACATGATTATCCTTGTGCCAGTACCAATCAGTCTTGAATTCTGCTGTGTCGTACTAAGTTTTGAAATCATTCTTCTTTTTCAAAACTTGTTTTTCAGTTATTCTGGGTCCCTCGAATTTCCATATGAATTTTAGGAGCAGCTTGTGAATTTCTGCAAAAGAAACAGCTGCGGTTTTGACTGGGATTGCCTTGAATCTGTAGAACAATTTGGGAAGTATTATCTCATCTATTTTTAAACATCCTCAAATCTCTCCCATTTTAAACTAGAAAACCCTTTTTTTTTTTACTGTACATCCGCATCCTGATACTGCCTTCTCTCTCCTCTTCATAATCAAAGTTTTAAAATGGCTAAACTTGATGCCTTCACACCCTCCCTTTCCAATCCCTCCTCGATGCCTCAGCCTCATAGCCAGCTCACACTAAGCATGTCCCAAACCAAATGCCTGCACTTGCCTCCCCTCTTCCAACCCTAACCCTTTCCTGGGCTCATCTGTTTCACTGAATGGCACAGCCACAAGCCAGAAACCTGTACATCATCCTGGACATCTCTCCCGCACTCCGCAGCCACGCCGTCATCAAGTACTGTCAATTTTACCTGCACCACATGCCCTCGGTCCACCCACTTATCCACACCTCAACTGCAGCCATCATCTCTTGCCTGGACAACCACAAGAGCCATCTACCTGGTCCTTCCAGGTCTTCTCCCCACAACAACCCATTCTCCACACAGTAGGCAAAAAGACACCCTTTAAAAAAAGATTTTTATTAAAATATAACTAACATGATAATGTGTCCATTTCAGGTGTACGCCATAGTTACTCGGCATTTATCTACCTAAAGAAGCGATCCTTGTAAGTCCAGCAACCATCTGACACTGTACAATGTTATAATTATGTTATTACTGTTTTATCTATGCTGCACACATCCCCATCACTTGTTTTATACCTGGAAGCTTCAACTCCCTTTATCTTTTTTTAAATAATCATAGCACATCATTTCCCTGCTCGAAACCCTCAAAGACCTCACTACACTGAATATAAACTCCACGTGCCTAACTATGGCCTGCAAGGCCCAGCCTGATCTGGCCTCCCTCTCTCTATAGGCCCGTCTTATACTATGCCTCTCGCTGTTTTATGTAAATCTTTGTTTGTTTTCCAGTCATGTATGTCTACTCTGGAAATCTTATAAAATGTGAAAAATAAGAAAATATCGCCAAGTGATTATAACATAGATGAATCTTGAGGACATTATGGTAAGTGAAACGCAAAAGGAAGCCAATCACAAAAGGGCAAATACTATGATTCCACTTATCTGAGGTCCCTAGAGTAACCAAATCGAG